GCATGGTGTGTAACTTAGATCCTAAACTGCAGCCTTTGTGATGTGCTCATCGCATTGTTTCAAATTACAATTCTGATTTGTAATTGATTATTCGTTCAGTTGCAGTTTCTGCCGTCCTGGCAGACTTTACCTCTGTTAAAGCAAAGTAATGTAGTGTGACAGGTGGCAGTCAGCAAGAAAAACGACTCCAAAGGAAGCAACGAAAACATGTAAACTGGGTTTGAGGTGGGACAAGAACCAGCAAGTGAAAGAAAGAGCTGGAACATAAACTGACAACATGATAGACCTTTTTCACAGAAGGACAAGCACTGACTGACACTGACACTCAAAACAGGTTTTACAGTGTTTTCTACATTTTTTAAACCTTTCATTCCACTTCTTGTCCTTCCATGTGTCATTGTCACCTGAGTACACTATAGCAGCTATTCTGTGTTTATTAGGAGGAAACTGGAAAAAGAAGACTCACCTGAGCCTGAAGCGGCTTCTGTGTCAACGAAGACAAGACTCACTCGAAAACGAACTTATAATTTACGGAAAAAAGGCCCCCTTGTGGATCAAAGGTAAGGATTTCAAGCTGGTACGACCAACAAAAGCATGCGATGGATCCTTCATCAGCTCCAGATTCAACAGCTTTACTGATCAACTCTGTTTTCTGCAGCACTCTGTCTCGCACTCAGAGTCAAACACATCCTTACTAGGACCTTCTCAGTAGGCTGTAATGGACAGAATGAATTTGTTATTTCAGAAAATAACTTGTTTATACGTTGTGCTGTCCGACCTCGTGTGTGTTTCTGTCTGCTGTAAATGTCCACGTTGCAGTGAGGGATGAGACAGAGCGTCAGACATGATATGATTTAAATGTGGAAAGAACTTGTTCCATTTTCAGACAGTGTCTCCTGAAGACGTTCATAGTGTCTTAACTTGTGTTTGTCTTTGTGAGGACAGATGTACTGACAGCTAAATGGTGATGATTGATCCACAGATTTGACGAGGAGAGCTCAAATGTTCCCAGTGCTCAATCTGCAAAGCACCATGACCTGGACGACATATTCACGGTGTGTACATGTACAACTCCTACTCTCCGATCTGTTGTGTTCACAGTTGTCTCCATGTGGCACTTTGTAGACCAGTGAGGTGTCAGTGTGTCCAATTGTGGATCTGATGTTTGGCTCCATGAGTTCACTCTGATTAGCTCATCCATAGATTTCTCTATTCCAGCTGCTGAAGGAAAGCATCGTTAATTTTGTGAAGAAGGAGCTGAAGAAGATGCAGAAGGTTCTAAGTCTAGATTACCCAGAATGCTCAGAGATACAGAGGGAGGATGAGGAGGAGGGTGAGGATAAAGAGCAGAGGAGCAGCAGAGAGAAGTTTCAGCAGATCACAGTGTTCTTCTTGAAGAGGCTGAAGCAGGAGAAGCTGGCTGACTGTCTGAAGAGCAGTAAGAGGATTTCGTAAAGACTGAACCTGCTAAATCAACGGCATCTTCACTTATGTCTCCACATGTATACACATACTTTTTCTGTAGGAAGAGAAACGATTATGTTAACAGTTACTAATTTTGTTTATTGTGTTTTAATTCAGAACTTGATGCTGCAATTTGTGAACGTAAACTTAAATGTGACCTGAAGGAGAAGTTCCAGCGTGTGTTTGAGGGAGTTGCGAAAGCAGGACAGCGAACTCTTCTGAATGAGATCTACACAGAGCTGTACATCACAGAGGGAGAGACTGCAGAGGTCAACACTGAACATGAGGTCAGACAGATTGAAGCAGCATCCAGGAAA